GGCGCCGCACACCGCGCTCGCCACGGGCGACAAATTTTCTCGGAGGAAGTCAACTACAAGTCGGATACTCCTTTCCCAGCATGGGAAGACAAGGAGGACGAGGTTCGCTAACGAAGCAGCCGTTGGAGGCTATCCACAGGGTGGTTCTGATGCGGTCGTATCCACGGTCGGTCTTAGACCTTCGTGTGGAATACGGCTTCCGCTCGGCGGATCCCGCTACTGAAGCAAAAGACGCGACCACCCCATCGTTGGGCGCCTTCTTCGTCGAACCCCCGACCACTACACAAGCCGAGCTTGATCAACGAGAAGCTCTCCAAGCTCGCTTTCTGGTACAATAAGAAATTCCAATGGATAGGTACAGCGCTCGACTTCGCGCTCAAGGGGAGGCACTCTTGTACCCGCAATGCGGACGATTCCTGTGGTATTCGCCCCTGGCGAAACCACTGCAGACAACGAAGAGCTCTTTTGAGCGATGGTTGCAGCGGGACCGAAAACATTTCTTGATTTCTAACTTACATTGGGACCACAAGGAAGTGGATGCGCGCGCGTAGAACGCCATCTTCGGCTCGAGTTTGCCAAACTCAACGAGCAACACTGACTTCCTTCGTATAGTCGTCCTGCTACGTATGGATTAAATAAACACGCTCCCGCGAGCTCTTTGGACTCTTACACGGATTGTGTCTTCGATCACAGCAGCTCAGGGCCATAGCTTGAGCTCACGCGCGCTCATGGCCGATCGCCTTCCCCGGCTATTGCCGAGAAGCGCGGGGTGTATGACGACGCGGAGCGTCATGATCCCTTTGATCATAAGCGTCTACGACGTCTAGGCAGTCTTGCCGAAGTGCCACCTCAATTTTGCACGAGTTCTCGGAGTTTGGGTATTTTCGCCACTTCACAAGATACTGAATCTGCCCTGCCGACGATGTCGACCCACAAGGTGTTCCACGTCAAAATGGACGCACCCGTTCTCGTCGAGAAGAGTTGGCGGCGGACAATGACGGGTGGATTGCGATGTTCTTCGATCGGTGCTCCGCTGAGCATTATGCTGAGGTTGCATACCGCTGTGCGGAAGACCTTGAGAGCCTGGAGCATTTTTTACACCGACTGCCTTACGTTAAGGATCATCGTGCCCTGTCGGAGCAGCGACGGCGGAGCGCCTGACGCCATTGGAATCGTTGCACTCCGTGCTCAGAATCAGTTGCTGGTTCAGCTTCTGGGTGGTCGAGCGCCTTGGGCAACGGATCCCGGCACGGCTTTAGCAAGCTCTCATAAAACACCGTGTGGGTGCGCATCTTTTCAGAAAGTTTAGCCTATACGCAAGACCTCGCTTGACCGTGACCTTGAAAGGTCCGATAAACCGTGGACGAAGCTTTGTCTTCAAGACAGCAGAAACTGCTTGTGTAGGAGGGTGTTTGGGATTTAATAAAACCAGGTCTCCGACCTCAAAGTTTATATCGCTTTTTCGAACTCTTCCGTCTGCATATTCTTTCTGCATGTCTTGGCCTTCAGCTATCGCATCGCGAACGTGTCTTAAGGCACTCAGTCTGGTAGACAAAAAGCCTTCGACTACTTCACTCGCAGTGAGGGGGCTGACGTCAGCTATCCGCTCGGCTATGTCTCCCCCTCCAATCCCTGAGCCATGGTATGGCGGCGAAAACGGGACGCGAGGATTAACAAGCCCTCTCACTTAGAAATGCATGTAGCCGGTAGACGTATGCACTGCATTGTTCAGAGCACACTCCGCAAGTGACAGCATGGCGCTCCAGTGCTACGGCGTCTCAGCGCAGATGCTGCAAAGAACGTCTTCGACGACGCGATTCACGCGCTCAATTTGACCATCGGGCTGCAGATGGTTCGCTGTTGACATAGTCAACATGGTGCCCAGCACCCTGAAGATTGTAGACCAAAACTTCCCAGTGAAGCGCAGGTCTTTATCAGAGGCAATTGACTCGTGGGAGTCCGTGCTGTCAACAGACACGATCTACAAACGGCGTCGCCGTACCCATATCGTCGATGGTGTCCGGCACTGCCGCAATATGAGCCGTCTTGATCAAACGGCCACATAGATCATCACACCCGTGTTGTCCGCCGAGTCCTTCGGCAGGCCAAACACAAAGTCCCTACTCATGGAATGCCAACACCCGGAGGGTACCAATAAACTGGCCAGGGGCATCGCCGCATTCGGAGAGGATGTCATCCTCTGACATGTCTCTCACATGCGCACGTATGTGCTCGTCCGTTTGTACGGCTTAGGCCACCAGTAGTGGCAACTCGTAGAGCTGTACGTCCTCTCACGATCGAGATGACCAAGTTGTGTGCCTCATAGAGGATGCGGTACTTCTAATCCTTATCGTGAGGAACCACAATTCGTGGCGTGTCCGTCGAATCGTGCTATAAGACAGCAACCCGTTATTCAACGAATATCGGTGCAATCGTGCGCGCAATCGCGGCGAAAACGTTTTGTCCAACTTTCCAAACCCCCTTCTCCCAAGAGCCCGTAGCAGCGCTACACATATCATCACCCGCGTATGTGGCCCGGATCAAATTCGTCACTGACGACGTCACCGTCTTGACATGAGCAAGTTCATAATCCGGTCTGCGCGACTACGCATCAGCCAAAGCATTCTGCTTTCCTAGTTTATACTTCTCCTCGAAATTATAATTTGCGAGAGGTGAGGCTACTGAGTCGCAGTGCGTAGAAATGCATGATCTGTGAAGATCACAAACGGCTTTGAGCCAAGCAGGTGCACCCTGAGCTTAACAAGTGCATACTTCATCGCAAGTAAATCCTTGTCGTGGACTGAGTAGTTCGTCTCCGCAGCCTTAAGCTAGCGAGATTCGAACGCGTTCACCCGATCTCGCCACTCAGCGTCTACTTGCAGCAGTGTACAGCCGACCGCAAAGTCCGAAGCGTCACCGACGACACCAAAACGACGATCAGGGTCTGGCAATGCCAGTATTGGTACATGAAGGAGGCTGTCTTTGACCCCGTCGAAAGCCTCGGTGTCCCAACACCATTCCGCATCCTTCTTAAGATGAGTCGACGACGTTCGTCCATTTCCGCATTATTTGCGCTATACTTGTGCAAGTAGTTGGTAAGGCCAAGCCACTTACGCAGGTCGTTTTGGTTTTTTGTAACCGGCCAGTCGACAATGGCCTTGATCTTTGCGACATCCTCTCGAAGGACACGCTTCCCAATGAAGCATCCTAAAAAGAGAATTTTTCCCGCGCCGAGGATGAGCTTATCGGCATTAATATACAGCTTATTTGTGTCCATGCACTCGACCACCGCTCTCTCATTGACGATAATTTTCCACATCTGTCCTTCTGTGCCTCGCACGACTGTGGACGAAAATATCGTCGAAGCATGTCTGTGCATACGCTCGATGGGGTCTGAACAACTGCTTCACACGACAATTAAATGTTGCTGGTGCATTTGAAAGACCTTGGGCATCACTGGCCACTACCGAGCATGCCGTTCCAGGTACTCACCGCTGTCAGCAAAATATCACTCGCTCTCATGAGCAATTGGTAATACCCATCGACCAAGTCGAGTGCTCTG